GCGCTGCGGCATACCCAAAACAAAGCCTGTATACCATCCTTATTTCATATGGCTTAGGACAATGCATCAAAGTATGCGGGTTCACATATGCAGAAAACGTAATACTTCAAGTCGAAGGATAGTTACACCCGTGGTCGCGCTAAAGATGCTTAGAGCATGAACTAAAAGTTCAAGAAACATCTTTAGGATGGGTCAGTCCGGCATCCTATTATCTCTAGATAATATCTGCCCATGTGCGGATGCGAACACACTGTCATTGACTATGAGACTAAGTCAAACATCCAACACACACTAGTCTCACATGCATTAACGATATCCCACTCTCGTTAATACTCGACTATGGACATTTAGATAAATATTTATTTCAAGATGTTAGTCTCATCAGCAGAAAAACACTATCTTATACACATCTTTTAAATATAAATCTAGGAATATAATATTTGTTTACATTAGCATGAGATGTGTAAACATATTATATCTGCCTATACATGATAGAATAACGATAAACAGTTGGCCATCAGAGCACAACTCCAACATTTTCCTCCGCATCCGACCCTTCCGATAGAATTCCCTTGCTCGAAGAAAGTTTACGAAGCTATCTCCAAGGTTTTTTGGGCCCTACTTAATTACAAGGAAGGTCGGACCCGTGGCTTATGAGCTTCAACTTTTAGATACCGCTCGTATCCACCTGGTTTTTCATGTGTCTCTTTTACGACCAGCCAGGGGTGTTACTCCATCTAACCCTCCAGCTGCTTTGCCCCTTTCTTCAGATCTTGAACTGCTCCTGGAGCCGGCTTCAGTCCTTGACCACCGTTGGAAGGGGTCTACCTTGGAATTGTTAATTCAATGGAAGGGTAGACCAGATGAGGAATCAAGTTGGGAAGAGTATGAGTCAATACGGCAGCAATATCTAGACTTCCAACATGAGGACACGGTGGTTTTCAAAAATGGGAGTAATGATAAGATTTGGATCACTTTTAACAAGAGGTCATGTCAGTAGCTTTATAATTATATTAGTTCGTTCTCTTCACTTGTTACTTTAGTTTAAAAGACTAGTCATTAAATAAAAGGACTCATAGGTTGTCAGAAGTCCTGAAACCCTAGAAGTCTGCCTAGTTGTTGTTTAACCTTATCAATTTGTTACAGAGTTATAAATAACCCAGCATCTGTATTGCTGGATACGCAGAAAATAAATCATTGTTCTTGAGATCCTCTTGGCTTCTATCCCTTTCAATCGGTGAGATTCTTACTGTGAGAGAGGAAGAAGAGTTTTATTTAGAATTAATTTGGATCCTGAATTAATTCTAACAAGGTTTCTATCAGAAACATAACTTAGAAGGGAATGTCTAAATCTGTTCACAAATTTGTTTAACTTAGCAGTTTTACTAATATTGTAAGTCCTTTTTGTTGGAATTTTTGACATTTTAATAGGCATTAAATGGGCCAACTTAGGTATAATTATCAATAGGTCCACTAACGGTTTTAACCGTTAATTAATGGATGTGTGTTCTCTTAAATGAGATAAATATTTTGATATATTATACGCCAAAAATGGTAGAAGGGTGAATGAGAAATTTATTCTCAGAGTTAACCCGTTACGTAATGTTTAAAATTATTCCACTTTTACGGAGTTAACTGGCCATTAATCTCCAATTAAATAGGAAGAATTTTAAACATTATGGGTGTAACCCCCATGTTAATGGTGGTATTAACACACCATTAAAAATATTACTAATGATGGTGAGTCATGGCTATTGAATGTGCCTTCATGGCATCTAAGTTACAAAATGAATAGCCATGAAAATGCCCATTTAAATGGAGGGACTCTTCTCATTTTTTAGAGCATCCATACGTGGGAAAAAAAAGGAGAAGGAAAAAGTTAACACTTTTGTCCTTGTTTAACTTTGAGGAGAGCTCTTGGTTTTCTTGCCAATTTTTCCGGCGATTACCTTCATTTTTTCCGGTCGCCAACGTTCCTACGTTGTACTTGTTCGTTGGTGTGTGGTTGGTCCGTACAATCACCACACACGATAGCGGTTTTATCCTGGGAGGAGAGTGCCCACGTTTTTCGGTACGGTAGGCGGGCACTACTACCTTAAGGACAGCTCCGGCGACTCTGCTATCCTTCCACGGTGTTTTGTTTTTGCAGATTCAGTTCATAAAGACCTCGCTGCATTCTGTCCTAGTGCATAATGTCCTCGTAGCCCTGTGCATAACGTCTTTGAATTGTTGTCCAGTGGTTAAAGACCTCGCTGTCCAGTGCTTAAAGACCTCGCTGTCCAGTTCTTAAAGACCTCGCTGTTCAGTGCCTAATGTCCTCGTACAACAAGGCCGTTTGAAGATATAGAAATTTATTTTCCAACTTTGTTTATTTTGTAATATTTGAATAAATTATAAATTCAGAATTTGATTTATTTTTATTTCCGGGGCCGTTCATCTTCCCCATCTGTTGTAATCCGTACGAGAATTTTAACAATCTTAAGGTAGTAGTCATATCCGTGCGCAATGGCGGGTATGGACGGATTTGGTTTTGACGCTCACACCGGAAACGGGAGTAGTTCTGAGACTCCGGTTGTGAACGTTTCGGCTGGATTGGGTGGCTCTGCAGGGCAGACCACTCCGATCAACATTCCTTTGGGTCCACTCCGATCACCACCTTCGTTGGATCGAGCGCGACTATGGGGTCCGCTCCGGTCACCTCGGTTATTGGACCAACCGCGGCTACGGCCGCAATGGTCACCCCACTCGGACCGAATATGGCTTTGGCCATACCGGTCATTCCCTCACTTAGACCAAACACGGGTGTCTTCACATCCGCACCGGTTGGATATCCTACTGTCATGCTGCCTGCGAACTCTGTCAAAAAACCAGCAAAGTTCACAGGTGTTGGCTTTAAAATATGGCAGCAAAGGATGTTATTTTGGCTGACCACCATCAACCTTGCGAGGTATTTGAGGGAGGATCCCCCTGTTGTGGGGGAGAACGCGGACGAGCGAACAGTTCAGGCTAAAGAAGCATGGATAGAGAATAACTATACGTGCCTTAACCTTATCCTGAATTGCTTGAGCGATGCCTTATATGCTGTTTATAGCAGGGCTGCATCCGCAAAGGAGTTATGGACTGCACTGTCCAACAAATACCAGGCCGAGGACGTCGGTGCGAAGAAATTCGTTGTCGGTAAGGTCTTGGATTTTAAGATGGTGGATTCCAAACCCATGGTCAGTCAAGCTGAAGAATTGATTCTCATTTTTAATGAGTGCACTGACGAGGGAATGGGAGCCAGTGAGGCATTCCAAGTGGCAGTAATTATTCATGTGCTCCCGCCGACTTGGGATGAGTTTTGGAGCTATCTCAAGCTCAAATGGAAAGAAATGACTTTAGAACAATTGCTTGTTCGTCTCTGGATCCGTGAAGAGGGTCTCACTCGCGAGAAGAAAGTAGTTGTTGCTAAGGCCAATGTGGTGGAGCATCCACCCAAATAGGGTTCTTCCAAAGGGCCCAAGCCAAATAAGGACAAGAAGTAAATTGGTCCTAAAGGAGGCGTCGCGAAGCCCCAGTTCGCGGGGAAATGCTTCAACTGTGGCATTACGGGCCACTGTTCTTCAGAGTGCCTCAAGAAGCCTTAGAAGAAGAAGCAGAAGAAGGAAGAAGCTCTATGCTCGGAGCTAGATTCCATGGACCTTTGTGCTGTCGTGACAGAGGTCAACCTGGTCGGGTCTAACCCGAAAGAGTGGTGGGTTGACACTGGAGCCACTCGTCATATCTGCTCCAATCGAGCCATGCTCTTTGACTTTAAGGAGACTTCTGGCGACAAGGTGTGGATGGGCAACTCCGCCCAATCCGAGGTTCAAGAGTAAATAAAGAATTTGTTTAGAATGTAAATATTGAAATGATTTGTTGAAATAAATCATGAGAATAATTGATATGAATTAAATGAGAGTACCTTTTATGAAAAAGGTCAATTAAACAAATTTTTACTCTGTTAAAGTCAAACACCCAAAAATGTGGTGTCGGAAAAAGTATAACGAATAAATATAAAAATTATATCGTTGGATAGAGTTCGACTGTCTGATCGCAACGGTGCAAACGGATTTCAATTCGGAGAAATTTGGACCAAAAAGAGTACCCCGACTGGGACCGAAATTAGTCCCAATCAGGGAAGGGCGTGTAGATCAATTAGAATCGCCGACATGCGCACTAAAGAAATTCTACGTATAAATGAGTCAGCTACCAATGTCTTCTTCCCCTTCTCTTCTTCTATATAAGGATACTCCATCCTTATCAATTTTGCACCAATGTTCTGGAAAATTATACCATTGTGTTCATAAGAGTGAAGGGAGCAGTCTGGTGTTGTTGGTTGCCGCCGAAGTCGCCGGAGTGGGGAGTAATCATCGCCGGAAGTTTCACCGGAAAATTTCCAAAACCTCCGTTAAGCTTCGAGGTAAGCCCCTAGATATATCTAATGACTAGAATGCTCATATAGATCGATTCTACGTTCATAAATGGTCATTTGGTTGAGTTTTGTATTTGAGTGTGATAATCGATTATCAGCCCATTCTGAACATCAGACAGTAGATTATCAAAAGTGATAGTAGACTGTCACCATACACTATTGAAGAAAATGAAGCTAATGGCTAATAGTTGAATTTCCTATCATATATTAATCAATTGTTATTTAGAAAATATGATTTTTGAGTTATGGAATCCTATATTTTGATACCAAACCATTATGATTAATAAAAGGATGATTTCTTGGAATAAAGATGGTATTTTAACAACTAAAAGGGATCTTATATGATGCATGACGGTAAACTAGGGTGTTAACACTCGATGCTAGGCCGCTGATTGTTATTAGTTACTATGATGATTGATTGATTGTTCATTTTTATGAATATTATGGATTAATGATGATGAATATTCTGGATGAAATGATTGTTGAACTAAGAGTATGAATTGATGAATAATGTTTTTAAGGATATTTAGAAGAACTTTAAGATATACATATTAGCTA